AATAAATAAAATCTTAAAATAATAATAATAATAATAATAATAATGCTTGTTCCTTATTCTTGCATAATGCCTTAGAGTGCTTTCTTCAACATGCCTGAAAGCTAAGTAAGAAAGAGGAAGGCAGACATACACCCATTTTGTAGATGAACAATCAGGCTCCTTAAAGGCAAGACCAGTTCCCCCAGTTCCCCAGCTCCCACAGCTAAGCAGTAACACAGCTGAGGCTGAGTGCCGGTCTCTGGACTCTGAAGCCAGTGATGCTTCCTGAACATTGTCATTGACTATAGGCTAGATGATAGTCTTTCTTCCTGGCTTGCTTTGGTAGAGAAAGAAGTAGGGTTCCAGTCTTCAGAAATCTGAACCATAAAAATACCCAAAGAGCATTTTATAAAATGAGCTGGTTGAGACCTGTCCATCCTTGTTATATTTACGGCTGGTCCAGTGAAGGCCCACACTTAGATGCAGGCAGCATGCCTTTGGCTCCCTGGATTCTCGTGGCCAAACGGAAACAGAAAAAGTAGGATCAGACCTGCTGGCCACAAAGGAAGCCATAAGTCTAGGTGGCACATCTCGAATTGTTCGTTTCTCCAGCATTTACTGACCTCTTGACTTTGCACCAGGCACTGTGCTAAGCCTATGTGTGTTATCATATGTTTATCTTCACAACAAGTTTATGGACTAGGAACTGTAATTAGGCCCTCTCTATGGATAAAAGGTAGACAAGGTGGCTACCGCAGAGGGACACAGAGGTTGGGAGAGATCACATAACTCCCCCGGGGCTGTGCAGTGGCCATCAGATGCAAGTACCAAAACCAAGTGTTGCATTTTCCTGGACTGATCTGTTAGGCTTCATTACACTATCCCAGCGGTTCTCAAAATGTGTGCCAGGTATTCCTGGCATCCAAATATTTTCATAATATGACTACCGTGTTATGTGAGTTTCACTCATCCCTTCACAAGCTAACAGTGATTTCCAGAGGCCCCATGACAGGAGACGCCATCCTTGCTCAGAGTGCTTATGTACTCTTATGTTTTATAAATGTCCCAGCCTTTGTTTCTAGTATCGGTAGCCATAACACACACAAGCAAATGCTCTTTGGGGTCCTTCTTAATTTTTCAGAGGACAAAAAGCTTCTAAAACCAGAAAGTTCGAGAACCGCTACACTTCAGTAATTATGAGATGAATGACAAAGTACTTGTTGATGCTGTTTTACTAGTTTCAGATGGAAAAGGTAGTAAAGATCCCCCCTTTTTTTTCCAGGAGAGGCTGAGATAAACATAATTGTAAGGGGAAAAAAATTCTTGGAAAAAAGAAAAATCCAGAAATTGATTGGTCAGGCCCAGATGGCAAGTGCAATCAGGGGGCAATGGAGAGAGAAGCTGCCAAGGCCAGCAACGGGGCTCAGGAAAGGGCAAGGCCCAATGGAGCAGGCAGGGACATGTCCCAGGGGTCACCTAAGGCAAGGTGGCAGCCCAGCCAGCTAGAGGAGAGCTCTCCCTCCGGGGCTGGGGAAGCTGCCTACCTATCTACACCCGCTACTTGACAATTACCTGGGATTTTTATAATAAACTTCTTGCTGCTAGATGGAAATGCTTATTGAAAAAGAAAAGTGGGCAGCTAATATGAAGTTTACTTTAAAAATAAAGGATGCACTGTGGATTAAAATCCTGAATTCTGTGGAACAGGGTTCAGGGGTCATCATTTAAAAAAGTAACCAAGTACAATAGCCAAGATATGGAAGCAACCTAGTGCCCATCGACAGATGAATGGATAAAGAAGATGTGATACGCACACACACACACACACACACACACACACAATGGAATACTAGTTGGCTATACAAAAATGAAATTCTTCTTTCTCTCTGACAAATAAATGAATAAAATCTTTAAAAAAAAAAGTGAAATCTTACCATTTGTGACAACATGGATGGAGCTAGAGAGTATTATGCTAAGTGAAATAAATCAGACAGAGAAAGACAAATACCATATGATTTCACTTACATGTAGGCTCTAAAAAAGAAAGCAAATGAACAGATAAAACAAAATAGAAACAGACTCACAGATACAGAGAACAATCTGGTGGTTGCCAGAGGGAGAGGGTAGAGGAATGGGTGAAACAAAGGAAGGAGATTCAAAGGTGCAAACTACCAGTTATTAAGTATTTAAAACTTGGGGATGCAATGTACAGCACAGGGGATATAATTAATAACATTGTTTATATGGCGGCAGATGGTTGCTAGATTTCTTGTTGTGATCACTTGGGAATGTATATAAATGTCAAATCACCATGTTGTACAGCTGAAACTAATCTAATATTGTATGTCAACCATACTTCAATTCAAAAAAAAGGAAGTAATCAAGGAAACAATACAGTAAACTTAAGGTGTTCCTCTTAATATTATAGAGGAGTTTCTGCCTGTTGGCAAGTAATTTGTTAAAGTTTGGTGTTGGGAAGTAAGTTTTCTGAGATTTCCCAAATGCCTGAGGCTAGGTAGCTCTTACTATGATTCCCACAGCACATTACATCGCTGGAGGAATAAAGTGCATTTTGCTTTAGTCTATTTATTTAGTCTATGATAGCGGTGTTCTGACTTTCAGGAAATTTGTGATATCTCTAAAGAAGAAGGTAAAGCTTACATTTTATTTGTTGGCCCACTTCTATATCCTGAATACACTGTATAATTTCCTGCCTTGTGTCTTTGCCTTACTTGAAACAAGCTACCCTCAAATCCTGATTTCTTTTCTCATGGAAATCCCAACCCATTCCTCAAGGTCATGTTCCCACTACCTCCTCTAGGTCTGGCCTCCTCTAAAAAGCCTTTTTCGAACGTGTCCAGATCTACTAACACCATCTCCTCTGACTGCCCACAATGCATCGAAACATGACCATGGACTACACGTGTCTAGGCTCATGTGCCATTGGGTGGAATAACTGGATGGCTATTGTGGTTTCATAAGCAACAGTCTTGTCTCCCTGAGTAGCTGTTTAAGGCTAGTGACCAGGCCTTCCACTTTAACTTCCCTCTTAAAATCTAGAACTCCACCCAATGTAGGAGAGTGCCCCGTACAGAGAAGACAGTAGACATAACCAGACATTTGTCTGGATATTAAGAAGAAGAAAAAAATAAGAGCAATGACCTGTCCTCATTTTTCACACAAGTGTCTGTTTATGCCACCAAGGGAGTGAACCAAAGTACAACAAAATTCTACAGGAGGGAAAAAAAAACCCCACAGAACTCAAATGAAACCAAAAATAAGTGTTATGCAGCCTCATTCCTCCCAGAGCATATTCAAAGTAGCCAGCTCTGGCAAAAATCCTACTTGGACCCCAACAGGTGCTGACCACCCCCCCCCACTAAAACCAACTGGGAAACCCAGAGGAACTGGCCATCCAGTCCACAGGCAAGGGGTGGGGGGCTGGAGGGGGGAATGAGTCAAGTGGGATGGAAGAACAGACACCTTCCCATTCTCTGCTCTTATAATGTGATTTAATAATTGGAATGTGATTAGAAACAGTTGATAAAGTCTTGCGACGTAGGGCCAACCTCTACCCTAAAAAAAAGAAACAGCAGTTAAGACGTTTGTATTTTTTTTCTGGACTTTAAGATAAGGACATCATACCTCCTATTCATCTTAGAGAGTTCATAGTTTCACCCCATTTCATCGAGAAGGAAACGGAATCAGAGACGGTAGATGGGCGACTAGCCTAAAACACCCAATTGGTAAGTGACAGGGCTGGGTCCAAACCCCTCTTCTGCTCCAACATTAGTGTTCTTTCTGAGATGACCATTCTGTTCCATATTATAAAACTGCAGCATTGCAAAAGCTTTGACTGTCCTTACCAAGCTTCCTGGAATTTCTTCATCCTGCAAGGCCTCCCTTGATTCCGCCGACTCCTAAACCATCTTTCCACCTGGCGCTCTGTCAAGTTACACTTCTTTGCCAGTCCGTAAATATCAGTCTGAAAAGGGACAACATGAATGAACAGGTGATAAAGAGTAGTCAGATGGGCAGGCAGTCAAGAGACGGTATGATTCGGTTACCAGAGCTTGCGCCCTGGAGAGAAGAGGCATTCTGCGTTAGCTCTGGAGCCAATGAATTTACCTCTTTTGCTTATGGGATCACACACACAGACACGCACACACACAGACCCACCAAAAAAAAAAAAAAAAATCCCAGCACTCTGAGTTACTAAGAAATATCAATACTCCATAATTTGGCAGCAACCCATACATTCGAGCTGCAGATGTGAGCTCACTCGTTCAGCAAAGTTTTATCTAGGCTTCCTAGGTACCAGGTAGAGAAGTACAGTTTAAGGTGTTAATCAGATCCAACCTCCTCATTTTTCCTACGAGAAATGGGAACACCAAGAGTTTTAGTAAGTTGTCCAAGACCTAAAATTAATAGTAAAGTGAGGATAAGAAGGTAGGCTAGTGGGGCACCTGGGTGGCTCAGTTGGTTAAACGACTGCCTTCAGCTCGGGTCATGATCCCAGGGTCCTGGGATCAAGCCCTGCATCGGGCTCCCTGCTCGGCGGGAAGCCTACTTCTCCCTCTCCCACTCCCCCTGCTTGTGTTCCCTCTCTCACTGTCTCTCTCTGTCAGATAAATAAAAAAAAAGATTAAAAAAAAAAAAAGAATGTAGGCTAGTGCACTTTCTGTTCTTTCACACGACCTTTGTGCTGGCTCCAAAAGATACGACAGGAAAAACTCAAAAGGTGTTGGCTATCACTTTCACGTTTAATCAGATGTAGAGCCCATTTCAAACTAATCCAAAATAATTCCAATCATAAAAAAATTAAGATCATAGAATATACTAATGATGATCGCTTCTCTTCTGGGAAGCAGAATTTATTTTTAAATTTGGAAATAATACGGATGATGGATTAGCTCGAAGGTCATACACTTTGAAGCTCTCCGAGGGCCAGACCAAAAACACATATGATTGAGTGTATTCTTTCGCACAGGTAGGTTTTATATGCTAAACCTATGGTGTCTTCAACTGACACAAAGAAATAAGCTCTGTAAGTTTCTGAAATACCTGCCCTCTTGATTTTTCATTTTCCAACATAAGTACACGAAGTATTTCCATTTCCTCTTTACTAGAAAAAATAAAATGGCATCAAACTGACCCTCAGCTTCAGCGTTGAGGAGATAAGCAGGAGCGACTGACAAAGCAAACAGGAAAGCACCCGCTTTGCTCCAAAAGCGCAGCTGTGAACCAGCCCTCGCTGATGGCTCCAGAGGGAAAGCGCACACCCAGGATTTTGTTGTGACATGACTAGCACGTTCCAAATGTTGACCGATGCCTCAAAGTAAATTTAAGTAAATTTAGGACCAACATTGCGAGCGCTGAACAAAGCCTGCCTGATGGCTGGACACCCTCCAGTCTGGGACCAGTCATACAGTTTCTACTGTGTTATTGTGCAGAGTTCACCTAATTGTTCACGTGCGCAGGGTTAACAGTGGATAAAATTCATAAAGCAGCTCTCACACTGAAGACTGGCAAAGGCCTAATTGCAACTTCTATGTACCTCCTAAATTGCTACCTGTTATTTAATCTGCAAGAAGGAATGCAAAACAAAACACAGGATACAGCCCATATGATACTCTGTTTCTCTGTAACCTAACTGCCCTCTCTAACACCTTTTATAGGCCAAGGGTTCGCCACTGTTTGTGTTGTTGGTGTTGTGTTTTGTTTTTGAGCTCTTGAGGACACTGAGTTGGCAACCATTTATTGTTGCCTCCTTCTTGCAAGCATTGTGCTAATCATTGGGGATCGAAATGAATAATAACATGGACGTGGGGCCCGAAAGTAAGAAAACAAAACAAAGAATTCTAATGAAATACCATGAGTGCTAAGATAGGGGAAGATCAGGATACCATGGGACCTAACTCTGTGTAGGCACTTCCGGAAAGTTACACATAGGCTGGATCCTGAAAAAAGCCTCAGAGAAGGAGAGGGTAAAGAAAGGAAGGTCGTGTGGAGATGAGAGCAAGGGTGAGCAGGGAACCCCTGGGGAACAGAAAGAAGTCTGGCAGGGTAGAGCCATATGAAGAGGAGGGGAGGAAAGATGTGGCTACGCTCACATCAAGGGGGGCTTTGTCTGGGATTTATCCTGGGGGGGGGACAGGGCATTGGCACTGATAAAGTCCCCCTCCAGCGGCATGTACGGAATGGAGGAGCAGGCGTATGTCCGGAGTTGGACACCATGTTCACTTTGCCCTTGCGTCCAAGGTCTTTGTTCTCACAACTCTGGAGGTCTGGATTCACTAACCCACACAGCTCATCATACTCCCTCGCGGGAAGCAATTCATTTTTATTATCCCATCATTTCTATACATATCTGCTTAATAAATGCATCTAGAAATAGCACTCGAACATGATTTGAAGCAATTTATTTTCTCTCTTGGAGCACAGATGAATCGGGTGTAACATCAGTCTTGACAATACTGACTCCATTCACTACAATATTATTGGGATGGAAATCCTCTTGCAAACAAAAGTCTCTGGAAGTAATTTCTTATCGATACATAAAACAAGCACTTATTGAACACCTACAATGCACAGAAAATTGTGCCAGATGTTATGTTGGTATTTCTTTAACTGTCACATGGCTCTTTTCTCTCCATAGCAGGGAAACTTGATAAAGACCAAATTTCCTCATTTTAAACTTCCTAAAATGCTGACCTGAAGGTTTTGCTATAGCAAACATATCAAGTAATTGAGAGCATAGCACCGTTCTTCATGTTTTATACAAGGTATTACCCGAGTGCTTTATTCTCAAACAGAAAGAGAGAAAAATAACGAGGACTCTGAAAGAGCCCGAAGTTTTCATAACCACAGCTAAGTAATTTCCCTTTTGAAAAATGTGAAATGATGCTTGGGCGTTTATTATCGCCACTGTTAACAACAGTATTGAAAGGAACAAGAGCAGTCCTTTGGAGCACATGGAAATGAAGAACATGTGGAAAAGGCTTGTCAGACTGTCCTCATTTTAGAAAACAAACAGACAAGGGAGTCCAGTACAGAACCTGAGGGCAGAAGTTACAGACAGTGCTGGCTAGCTGTGAACAATTCTGGACGCGATGCCACACGCTATGGTCAGACCTCCATATGAGCCCAACCAGACCCATGATAGAAACAGTCATCGTAGATGCAACTGAACTTTGCAAATAAAGTTAGGCACCCTTAAAATCTATCAATCCTAAACTGTGCGAGCACATGCTCTTGACTTTTAAAATGACTGGTGATCCAATAGCCAAACTATGGAAAGAGCCAAGATGTCCATCAACAGATGAATGGATAAAGAAGATGTGGTATATATATACAATGGAATATCATGCAGCCATAAAAAGGAATGAAATCTTGCCATTTGCAACAATGTGGATGGAACTGGAGGGTATTATGCTGAGCGAAATAAGTCAATCAGAGAAAGACATGCCTCATATGACCTCACTGATATAAGGAATTCTTAATCTCAGGAAACAAACTGAGGGTTGCTGGAGTGGTGGGGGGGTGGGAGCGATGGGGTGGCTGGGTGATGGACACTGGGGAGGGTATGTGCTAGGGTGAGCGCTGTGAATTGTGTAAGACTGTTGAATCACAGACCTGTATCTCTGAAACAAATAATACATTATATGTTAAAAAAAAGAAGAAGATAATAGGAAGGGAAAAACAAAGAGGGGGGGAAATCGGAGGGGGAGACGAACCATGAGAGACTATGGACACTGAGAAACAAACTGAGGGTTCTAGAGGGGAGGGGGGTGGGGGGATGGGTTAGCCTGGTGATGGGTGTTAAAGAGGGTACGTTTTGCATGGAGCACTGGGTGTTATGCGCAAACAATGAATCATGGAACACTACATCAAAAACTAATGATGTACTGTATGGTGACTAACATAACATAATAAAAAGAAAGAAAGAAAAATAAGTCACATGTAAATTTCATTAAAAAATTAACATATGCAGAAAAAAATGACTAGTGATCACCGTCTGTATTCATCAGAGAGTTTTTATTTCATCTCTCATTTTAACTATGGTGAAAATGAAACTAGACCTGCCTAGGTGCCATCTTTTTTTACAACTATTGGATTAAAACCTTTTTTTGTGGGGGCGCCTGGGTGGCTCAGTCGGTTAAGCGTCTGCCTTTGGCTCAGGTCATGATCCCAGAGTCCTGCATTGGGCTCCCTGCTCAGTGGCAAGCCTGCTTCTCCCTATGCCTGCCGCTTCCCCTGCTTGTGCTCTCTTTCTTTCTCTCTGACAAATAAATAAAATCTTAAAAAAAAAACAAACGACCTTTTAAGACAACCTTTTTTGGGTTATGTAAACATTCCTTGCACTACACCATTTCATGAAGTGCATCTTGTATTGTAGAGAGAACTCTGACTTTCCTGGGGAGTGGGCAGGAGCATGGTGCATTTTTAAACATGTGGAGGACTTGGATAAAATGAAATGGTCTACTCACGACAGCCACCCCCATGAACAATTTCCTAAGGTGTGTAATATATATCAATGATGCCACAGTCATCAGAAGTGTTAGATATGGGCTACTCTGCTGTAACTGTCAGTGGTCTTTAGTGATTAGGGTACTTTGTACATATCCTACCCTCTGAAATTTAATTTTGATCTTTCTACCCAAATTATGGCATTGATTATTAGTGTTAAACACTATAGTTGAACACAATAGTTCAACTATGAATATTGGTCATTTTATAATATTTCTGTATCATTTTATACTGTGCTTGGAATGCTGTATAACCTGTCAATAGAGGAAAAAAATCCAAATGAGTCAAATCATTTGATGGCCAACTGGAACGGATATCTTGAACAGATGAGGTAAGCCACAGGTGACTGAAACATTAAGAAAGGAGATTTTTTTTTTAATCCCCAAACAAAGAACTTGTACTTACTTGAGATGGTTGCCTTGTGGAATATTTGAAAAAATTCTCTAAGACGGTATTTGGTATAATCTTCTTTCGAACTTCCTCTTTAATGCCAAATGATTTTGCTAGAGGCGTAGCAATAAACCTACAAAATATGAAAGAAAGTCCAAAATCTGAGAATGAACCCAAAATGACACCAGAAAACTCAAGCCTTACTTTAGATTCCAAATGAAGGATCAGCCATTGGGTCATGTTGTCCTTGGGCTACCTACAGCTAACCTCTGCCTTGCAAAGAAATTCAAGGAGAGCAAATTTTGAGACCCTTTATACAAGCAATACGTTAAAAAAATAAAATACTTGTACCATTAAAAATTCACTTATGTAAATCCAAATATATTTATATATGAGATCCCAGAATTGGGATAAGCCATTCCACTTAGAGTTTCATTTTAAGACTCCAAGGGATTCAAATGAATAATAATTTTGTTATTGAAAGTTTTACTTGGTGGGGCGCCTGGGTGGCTCAGTCGTTAAGCGTCTGCCTTCGGCTCAGATCATGATCTCAGGGTCCTGGGATCGAGCCCCGCACTGGGCTCCCTGCTCGGCGGGAAACCTGCTTCTCCCTCTTCCACTCCCCCTGCTTGTTTTCCCTCTCTCACTGTGTCTCTCTCTATCAAATAAATAAAATCTTTAAAAAATAAAAAAATTAGAAAAAGAAATAAAAAGAAATTTTTACTTGGTGATCATTGTCTTATAGAATTACTATGTTCCTATTTGAAGTTCTAACTAATGAGAAAAATGGCCTGACTCTTGGGTAAATATCGAGGAGTGGGATTGGTAGGTGGTATAACAAGTATACATTTAACTTTATAAGAAACTGGCAAACTGTTTTCCAGGTGGTGGCACCACTTTGCATTCCTGCAGGTAATGGGCCAGAGTTCCAGTTACTCCATATCCCTGCCAACACTTGGTATTACCAGTCCTTTTAATCTCAGGATTTTACTGGGTGTGTCCTGGTTTTCATTGAATTTCCACTCTAATCTTTATTATTTCCTAACTTCTGCTTGCTAGAAGTTTAGTTTGCTCTTTTTTCTTCTTTTCTGAAGGTAGAAGTTTATTGATTTGAGATCTTCTTTTTTAATATAGGTGTTTGACGCTCTAAATTTCCTTCTGAGCACTATGTGGCTGTATCTCATAAGTTTTGATATTGTGTTTTCTTTGTCATTCATCTCAAAGTATTTTCTAATTTACGGTGATTACTCCTCTGACCCATTGGTTATTTAGAAGTATGCTGTTCAATTGCCACATATTTGCTCATTTCCCAATTTCTGTGTGTTACTGAATTTTAAATTCATTTCATTGTGATTGGAAAACACACTTGGTATGATTTCCATTTCTTTATGCTAATTGAGACTTGTCTTATGGCCTAACATATGGTCTGTCCTGGAGAATGTTCCTTGTGCATATGAGAAGAATGTGTCTTCTGTTGTCATTGGGTGCTATGTTCTAAAGATGACTGTTATGTGCTGATCAAGTCTTCTATTTCCTTATTAATCCCCCCTAAGTATCCATTACTAAAAGTGAGATATTCACATCTACAACTATTTGTTGAGTTGTCTATTTCTCCCTTCAATTCTGTCAGTTTTTGCTTCATGCATTTTGGAGCTTTGTTGTTAGGTACATATATGTTTATAATTATTATATCATCTTGATAGATTTACCCTTTTATATTATAAAATGTTCTCATTTCCAGTAACAGTTTAAAAGTCTATGAACGTCTAAATTGCCTGGCATTAGTATATAGCCACTCCGGTTTTTTTTGGTTACCGTTTGCTTGGTATATCTTTTCCCATACTTTTACTGTCAACCTATTTATGTCTTTGAACCTCAAGTGTGTTTCTTATAGAAAGCATATAGTTGGATCATGTATTTTTTTAAATATTTTATTTATTTATTTGAGAGAGAGTGGGGGAAGGAAGGAGCAGAGGGAGAAGGACAAGCAGACTCTGTGCTGAGCACGGAGCCTGATGCAGGGCTTGATCTCACAACCCTGAGATTTTCACCTGAACCAAAATCAAAAGTCAGACACTTAACCAACTGAGCCACCCAGGCACCCCAGATCATGTATTTGTATCCATCTCTCCTATCTATGCCTTTCAGTTGGAATATTTAATCTATTTACATTCATGAAAATTACATTTAATTACTGATAAAATAGGATTTATGTCTGCTATTTTGTTATTTGTTTTCTATATATCTTATGTCTTTGTTATTCCTCTATTCTTCAATAAGTTACCTTCTTTTGTGTTAAAGAGATATTGTCTAGTGTAGCTTTTTAATTCTCTCTCTTCCTTAAAATATTCTTCTTTTACCTTTCTTTTTAAAGATTTATTTATTTATTTTAGAGAGACAGAGAGAGCACCAGCAGGAGGAGGGGCAGGGGGAGAGGGAGAAAGTGAAGGAATCTCAATCAGACTCCCCACACTAAGCATGGAGCCTAAGGGCTTGATCTCATGAGATCATGACCTGAGCCAAAATCAAGAGTTAGATGCTCAACTGACTGAGGTACCCAGGTGCCCCAAAATATTCTTCTTTTAAAATAATTTTCTTAGTGGTTAACTAAGTATTATAATTAACATCTTCATTCATAACATCCTAGTTCAGATTAATACCAAAATAATATCAGCAATATACAAAAACTTCATTACCTCCCCTTTCTGTCCTATTAATCATACAAATCATATATTTATAAATTATGTTTTCATCAACACAGATTTATGATTACTGTTTGATGTAGTTGGCTTTTAAATCAGATAGGAGAAAAAATGTGTTAAAAACAAAAACTGTGTGTATACTTTCTTTTTATTTCTTATGTAGGTGACTTTACTGGTGGTGCTTTTTATTTCTTCATATGGATTCAAGTTATTGTCTTGTGTCCTCTAATTTCAGTCTGAAGGATTTCCTTTAATATTCTTGTGGGATGGCTCTGGAAGCAACAAATTCTTTCAGTTTTTGTTCATCAGGAAATGTCTTAATTTCTCTTTCATTTTAAAAGATAGTTTTTCTCAAGTTGACAGGTTTTTGTTTTTTTTTTTTTAAGATTTTTATTTATTTGTCAGAGAGAGAGAGAGAGCACAAGCAGAGGGAGCAGCAGAGGGAGAGGGAGAAGCAGGCTCCTCACTGAGCAAGGAGCGCGACGTGGGACTCCATCCCAGGACCCCGAGACCATGACCCGAGCCAAAGGCAGACACCCAACGACTGAGCCACCCAGGCGTCCCTTTTTTTTTAAGCACTTTTTATATGTCTTCCCACTACCTTTGGCCTCTATGATTGCTGATAAGAAATCAACTCTTAATCTTATTGAAGGTCTCTTATATGTGATAGATGCTTCTCTCTAGCTTTCAAGATTTGTTGTTTTTGTCTTTGAACACTTTGTGATGCATCTAGGTGTGGATCTTTAAATTTATCCTACTTGGAATTTGTTTAGCTTCTTGGATGTGTAGATTAATGTTTGTCATCAAATTTGAGTACATTTCTGGCCATGTATTTCTTCAAGTACTTTCTATCCTACTCATTTTCTCCTCTTCTTCTGGAACTCCCATTATGCATATGTTGTTAGGCTTCATGCTATACCACAGGTCTCTCAGGCTCTTTGTTTTCTTTCATTCTTTTTTTACTTTTTTTTTCTCTTCCTCAGACTGCTAACTCTTCTACTTGCTCAAATATGCTGTTGGGCACCTTTAGTGAGTTTGTCATGAGTCACTGTACTTTACAACTCCAAAATTTCTCTTTGATTTCTTTTATAATTTCTTTCTTTTTTTTTAAGTTCCAAATTTTTATTAAGATAATATTTTCTATAATTTCAAAATTTTAAAAATCATCCCTATATATGCCTATATGTCTAATTACAATCTTTTTATAGTCTTGATTTGGTGAGACATTGTTCTCATTCTTTCCTTTAGGTCTTAAACATGCTTTTCTCTAGTTCTTTGAACATGTTTAAAATAGCTGATTTAAAGTCATTATCTAGGGACACCTAGGTGGCTCAGTCACTTAAGTGTCCAATTCTTTATTTCAGCTTGGGTCATGATCTCAGGGTTGTGAGATTGAGCCCAGCATAGGGCCATGCTGTGCATGGAGTCTGCTTGGGATTCTCTCTTTCTCCCTCTCCCTTTGCACCTTTCCTGCTCACACACTCTCTCTCTAAATGATAACAATAGTGATAATAATAATAAATGAATTAATTAATTAAAAATAATAAAGTCTTTATCTTATAAGGCTAACATCTAGGTTTTGTAAGGGACATTTTACTTACAAAAAGGGGATTACTTTTTCCTTGTATTTTCTTGTTTCTTTACATGCCTTATAATTGTGTTGAAAATTGGACATGTTTAATAATATAATGTGGCAACTCTGGAAAACGGATTATCCCTCTCAGAGTTTGTTGGTTTTGTGGTTTGTTATCATTGTCCATTTGTTTGTTTCATTCCTTGTTTGAAATGATCTATGAAGTCTGTATTCTCTGTCATATTTGGGCACTGGAGTCTCTACTGGATTAGCTTAACTGTCACCTAATGACTAGACAGAGATTTCCTTAAATGCCTGGAACCAATAAATCTCCCAGTCTTTGCCAAGGAGCTCTGCATACATTTTGGGGCACACCTTCAACACTCAGCTAGGCAGTTGCCAACTTTGCCTTAGCTTTCACTTCTTTGCTCAGAGCCTCAAGATCATCTAGAGGTGAGAGCTAAGGGCCTTCTCATATCTTTTCTGGGCATGTGGAGAGCCCTGGGCATACCCAAAGCTCTACAAATTCAAGTGTCCTCTGGTTTCCAAGAATATGTCTGAGCTTTTCAAAGTCTGCTGTAGACATCTTATTTTCCAGTTTTTCTTTTTAAGTGTTTTGGTTAGTCTATTGTTTGCCCCAATTGTTATTAACAACCTCAGGTAGTTCCAAAGTTAGTCAATTGCCTCTACTTGTTTTAGACAAGCACCTTCAGGGAAAAGGCTTTTCTGACTCAGGTCAAATAAAGACAGACTTAGAATGACTGCCTTCTAGGGAACCACAAGAGAGGTCAGATAATGTTATTTCCCTAGTAGTGATGCTCTGTTCTGCTCCCTTCAGTGGCTGCCAGGATACTGGTT